ACTTGACACTTGTTTACATCTTGCTACAAGACTATCAAGTTCCCTTCTCCCATATTGAGCGAACAACAAAATACATCAAAACAGTGTTTCATTAGGAAAACATTTTTTAAAAAAACACATAAAAGGAGCATCATTAGCATCCATTTGAAGCCATATGTTTCCAGTGTCCTGTAATCAACCAACTTTCGACCAGATGTAAAACCTCCCTGCTGTAGGCACTGCAGGCTCGGCTGGTTTAAAGCAGAACAACATTAGAAAATGCACAAAATGTGATACTATAATAACATATTGCCGTCTGATACTATGCTATTGATCTGAGGCAAAACGACAGATGAAAGGTTTTGCAAGTAGTTCTGGACAAATTGCAGTCTGTGGGAAAACGAGTGCGCTTCTCAGTAGGTAGATGATAAAACAGAAACAAAACCTGTATGTAAGTGGATAAGAGTGATTAACAGCTGGACAGTCAGGAGCCTGTTTAAAAATAACATCAGGGGGTGATTCACACTCACTGTCTCCTCATACAGTATGTGCTGTCTCCTCTTACTTTTTCAATAAATAGGATTATGGGATGTGTGACTTTATTTATATAAATGAACACAGCTTAGATGAGAAAAATAATTTAAACAAAAGAACGTCTGACTTCATAAACTCTTCAGACTTCCACTTATTAAGAGGAACAGTAAAACCAAAACCTGTACTTCCTACTTTTTACAGTCCATTTAGCCAGCTATGCAAAGCGTTACTTAAAAAAACATTCTAATTTGTCTCAAGTTGTTTTTAACATTTGCCCTAATTGCCAGACCCTGCGTTACACCTAACAGCTTCTGTGAAGTCTTTTTCTGTACGTGACGGCAGCAGCTTTTTTGCCTCTGTGTTTCTGAGGGCAGCAGTGAGATGACTCTGGCCTGCTGCCCTCTCTCAGTTGGATTAGCCCGACTCACTGGCCTCTGTGCAGCAGTTTAAAGAGCCAGAGCAGGAAGATGCTTACACTAATATGTCATGATGGATCAGCTCGCCATGCAGACAGCATATGGAAGACCAAGGCATTTTGCTCAGAAGAATAAGAGGAGCCATTCATGCTCACCAAAAAACCCACAGCAGTTCTTTCCATCAGGCCCCGTGATTGGCTGGACACAACGCTCTGCTCTATCACTTGTATGTGCGTCTTTGGTACAATTGGCTCTGCTAACATTTGTATCAATCATTCCATTAGTGTCTCCCAGATGACTTGATGACTGCAGTCTCTGTGTAATTTTGGTATGCATCACAGGCTGCAGAGTGGGCCAACAAAAACAATTCAATGTAACTGTTGGAGTAAGGAAATGTAACCTCTGACTAAAATAAAGAACAAGTTCCAGGATTTTCTCTCTCTCTCTCCAGAAATCAGTCAAGACCGTGCAGATGTTTTGATTTCTGGATTCCAAGAGTCAAACCTTTTTTTAAAAGAGGAGTCAAATTTATTAATGTAAAAATACCCAGAACTGACTGTTACTGTAGTACCTTAACTTTAACACATATATTTCAAAAATATTTGGTTTGATTGGTAATGTAATTAAATCCAAGCATTTGGATAGGTTTCAGGTCAGTAAGGTTTGCTCAGGTTTAACCACACTGTAAAACATTATAACACTATAATATACAGCTATAATAATAATAGCAAACAGTTAGCAAACCTGCTAACTAATACTTTTATTGTAAATATAACTCCTTATACATATATCATTTCAGACCAAACTGAAAGCTTAATAATGCTTATGAAGACTCCCAGTCAAACAGGCATTTCAATTGGTTTGTGACTGATTGAATTTGACCAGTCAAATAACATATCTGTGTCACGTTATTGTGCAGTCGGACCATAAGCAGCAGCAGAACTGTACTTACATTATTCACTGAGCACTCAGGGCTCCGGCAGCACGCAGTCTGAATAAAGTTGAACCTAGAACAGCACCTAAGAGGAACAGGTCTGGTCTGAATGGAGGAGTAATCAGTGCTGAGCAGCATTTTCAGTATGGATGATGTGAAAAACACAGGAGTACCTGAGGACGTGTGGAGCCACGCTGAATAAGAGAGCGATGACGGCCAGTAAGAGAGCTGCAACCAGGATAGCTGTGGGAACGACACAAAAAGTTCACGATAGTACTATACATTTCTTTGAGAAAATAACGTAGACGTCTTAAAAAAGAGCTGATAAAATAGTTGAAACAATAGTATGAATTGTCTCCCCCTTGCTGTCCACAGGGAATCAAACCATGTCAAAGGGGATTCCTCAAGTGACAAACAAGAGCCTAATGGAAAACTCTGGGTCAATCCATCACACAACAATCTCTCTGGGTAATCTAAGTCTGCTCTATGGGAACAGACGATAACGCAGCACTACACTGAGGTCAGAATGAAAAACGGTTTAAAGGGAATATATAAATGTGTTCTTTGGGCTAACATTCGATCACGTCAGGGCTAATCTTTAGATATCACTGTTGTGTTTTTCCATTTTTTTGGATGCCTCTCTACTACTCTAGCTAACTTTATTTTCTTTATTGACTTTATTTTGTCAAATACGGCCCTGTTTCTATTCTTTATATTTCTGGACTTACCTTCTGTTATCTGTTGTTTATGTATAGTTGTTTTTTTACATCTTGTTTTGAAACTATTATTTAATTACACTAATTTGAACGAATTGGCTACAGCTGCAGCTACCTCTACACTACGGAAGCCTGGTTGAAAATGAAGACATTTCAAGGACAGACAGCCCTGAGCCACCAATATTTTATTGCCCTCTTTTTGGTCTTTTGTCTCTTAAAATGCGGTGTAGATATTTAACAGTACTGAAGATTATACATTTATAACACGTGGGCTCAGGAAATATTGTTGCAGCCTCTTTGTGTCAAAGCAGAGGAAATGAAGAGCCAGTGTGCACTGTGCTTGTTTTAGTGGAAAAACAAACACAGAGAAATGAATTTAGCTTGAGCTCTGAATCCTGGCTCTGACATCCACGGTGAAGGGAAAGCGTGGAGACATAATCACGTTGTGGCACTGCTGGTGTCCACTCGTAAAAATGTCATAAAGCTCTCAGCACATGAAGAGAAACAACACAAGATCTGTGCAACAGCAGCTCTCACCGCCCTCACCAGTGACTGTCAGAATAAACCCAGATTTAATGAAGAGACATTTGAAAGCAGCCAAATTAAACTCTGCTCGTCAATACCCTCGTCAAAGCCAAACACTTAGTCAATCTCTTGAATTTCTTAGAAGGAATCGGGGCCCCAGCAGGTGACTTGTGGTTTGTGGTATGAAGCAGAATACAGTACTAACATGATTAAAGGCCAGATCTGATAATACTGTACATCCTTTGAACAACAGTGCACAGCATCCAGCAAATGAGCTCATGGAGTCCTGCAGCAGATCGATGAGAAACGCTGAAGTAAACTTTGAAAATTCCCTAGCAGGGCAACTCTAACCTGTCTGGAGCTGCTGACCAGACCATTACTTAAGCTGAGCAAGTCCTACGGGGAGTTTGTATAATCACCGCTCTGTGAAGCTAATGGAAGCTCATCATACTGTGAGGGGTGCAGTCACACTGACCATATATCTGCTGGCATAATGGCTACTTGGCCTTAAAAGTCCGATCTACAACATAATCTGCAATACTGTTAAGTAGAGTGTACATTATGGAGGGAGACGCTTTCAAAATCCCATTACGCCCTAATCCTTCCACACTCCCTAATGTATTTCCCACAATCCCTCGCTCACGGAGCCAGGGCCTTAAAAACAAACACAGAAGCTTTTCTTTTGATCCCTTTTCAAGAAACCATGTCTTATTTGATCAATACACATCATGTCCCCAGAGAAGGATGGGAATTAGTGCTCGGTGGACGTGGACGGGACGAGTAATGTGGCTCTCTGCTGACTCGATTAGGAGAGGATCAAAGGCCTGGTCTGAGGGTAGAGACAAACCAAGGTCTTCTATTCAAAACTGATATTGTTTTGTTTTTTTACCTGTCGTGTACACTTACGCAGGTATGTGATGTTTGGACTTCTTTCCACACTGTGAACACAGTGGACTTTAGAGTCGGCCTCTGACAGTAGGATCCACACGGAGTAAAGACCTCCTTCACCGTACGTCTCACTCCACCTGTGATTTCAAAACAGTGACAAGAACACACACGTACACTCAAGGCTGCAGGTAGTGATCATTGCAGAAAAATACATGGAGCACATGCAACAAAATCAGGGTTTTTAACCCTGTGTGTGTGTGTATGTGTGTGTACCAAGTACTGCGATATTCTCACGAAGCCCAACAACATGCATGATTACTGTGATTGGACAATCTAAACTGACTCTAGGTGTGAGTGTAAACCGTGTTAAATACTTTGGTCTCTGTACATGTGGCCCTGTCTTGGACCAGGGAATGACACAGGGTGTATCGCTCCGTCACTTCATGACTGCTGGGATTGGCTCCTCCCACAACCACATAAAGGCTGAAGCAGTACAAGATGAACAAAGGAACAAAATATATTACAGTATAGCACATACTTTTCAGCCTAAAAAACGTGGGAGTCTTTCCCACCGTTTCTATAAAGCTCAGCAGCACCCCCTAGTGTCTTTAGCTTAAAAGTGTGCCCCTCTTGACTTCCAGCCATCTCCAGTTTCAGACCAAGAAAACATGCATTACACGCTCCTATTGATCCGCTGTAGGGATGACATACTAGCTATCACTCGGAGTGTTATTTCAAAGGGAGAAGGAAATCAATAGCAGCACAGTCTGGTTAGAGACCTCAGCATTGATCTGAAGGAGCCCAGGAGCAGGCCTCGCAGAGAGAAAACAGGCAAAAACACCAAGAACCTGTCAAGATGCAACTGAATCCCTGGCACCGTGTTCACAGGGTCACCCCCAAATTGGACGGCTCCTTCCCCAGTAACTTGTCAGCACTGATTGTTTATAAATATGGCAAGCATCTCCTCCAGTTAACATCCCCGCTGAGGTTTCCTCAAGACGTGTGGCTTTGAAGCATTAAAGAGGCCTTTTCATCAATACTGGAACGTCGGGTTATATTAACCCCAAAAAGGCCCCTGATCGATACCCAGCGAGGAGGTTTATTTAAGGGAGGGCATCACTCAGGTCCAGAAAGCAGGTCAGGATGACTCCCCCTGCCCTGTAAATAATCTAACAGACTGCTGATGCAATCATCAGCTGCCAACACACTAGATTATGTCCGCAGAGGAGAGCGATGCACTCCCACGGGCAGAGTCATTATTGAGCAAACAGGAAACACACAAGCACGTTCACCTCTGATCACTGGTTTGATGCTGTTAATGTTAAACTTTACCTGCAGAGGGTTTCATTTCTCATCTCCACCTGAATGGTCAGAGTGAATTTAGTGCTGATCACCACTGACGCGTTGCTGCTGTTGGGTTTGACGGAGGCTAAATGCTGGTACAAACACTTGGGAGAAAAAAAAAAGAAAACAATTAAACCAGAAAAACAATGCCGTATAGTGTTTACCCTTTTTTTTTTGTACATGTATTTGAACCTTCCACTTTTTATGCTTGTCTGTTGAAGCCAACTAAAGGCTTGTTATTACTGTTACTACTATGTCTGTGTCCTTGTAGCCTATTCTGACTACTATTTATCACACACACACACACACACTTATATATATATAATTATGAATGTTTATTCTTTTCCCTGTTTGGATGATGTTATTTTAAAAGACATATCTAATTTACATTATTTTCTTGCCGTCAATTTTCCATTTTGTCCTTTTGTGGGAACCTTGAAATCTTTTAGTTTTTTTTTTTTGTGCACATAGAAACTTTTGAAGTAGAAAAGGAAACAAAGATTTCAGATTTCTTTACCTTGTAGCAAAAATCTGACCTGTAGAAAACCCGCACATCTTCTGTCAGCTGGTTATGTAAAGTTAACAAAGCCTGGTCCATTTTCAGACTGGTTTCTGCAACAGTAACAAGTCAAAGTCACAACACTGTGTCCTGTACTCCAGTCTTTTCCCTCTTCATGTGTAACTTCATCATATTTCTCAGCTACCTTTCTTCTTTCAATCAGTTCGTTCAGTGAAAACTTTTAGTTTCCTTCGAGCTACTTATCAAATATTTTTGGAAATGGAATGTTTTGAACTCTCTTTATTTAACCAGAACCAATCAAATGCCTCCTTGGTAAATTTAATGTTTCACAAGGTTGATTTACTGAAGCATCTGAATGTAATAAAATGTACATCAAAAATATTATTTAAGTAATGTAAATGAGACAATATCAGAATAAAAAAACAGTATTTGTTGAATACATATGGTGCATAGGCATATGAAGAAGTACTGACTTTTAAAAAAGGCAGGAAAATATGGTCTTGTTGTATTTTTGTGATCAAAAACCTGTTACATTTCAATAAAACCTGTGTTTGTGGTTCATAATTTGTGTCTTGTACACACCAAAAACTACAAAAATGACAACGGTGACTGAGATGAATTACGGTGGACACATTAAGCTCTGTCGACATCACAGATATAAGACAACAGAAGAGTGTATCACATAACAGTCACTGTCAAGATCATAACACTGACTCCATATTATTGACTGGGCTCCCACATGTCTACTGTCTGGGCTCCGTTTGCAGTTAGACTTTTGATGACATTGACCAAACACAAACAGCATAAGCTATACGTATCATGGCTACAAAATACTAGTACTACTTACATGCTAGTGATAAAAGCGAGGTCCAAATACCAGAAGAACCACTCCCACCACTGATAACTCACCTGAACTCACATGTTGCCCAGAACTGCTGGCTGCAAAGACCAACAAAGTCAGAAAAGCTTGAGTGGGAGTCCACAGCTCCATGTTGTTTCTCGAGAACAGACACTACTCTCAGCCTACACTCATCATCATGTCTTTTACAATAAAAAGCGATCAAAGGTTAAAATACTGCTGGGAAGCGTCTTTGTTTGCTTGTTATGGTTGTTTAAGGTGAAACCACACCTCAAACATTTAAAAGAAAAGAAAAAAAGGTATTTAATGAATATGTTGACAAAAAATAGTTTTCTACTGTATACTGTGTACAAGAGGCTTTTCAACAACAATATCAATGTTCAATCAGATTTTCTTAAAAAAACAAAAACATTTTTTTCCATTTTTAAAACATGAGTTTTTCTTTTTTTCTTTTTAAAAGTATTCATTTCCAGCGTGAGAGCCCTCTACAAATGAAGTATTTTTGTGACAAATTTTGTAGGTCACATTTTCCTTTCTTCACGTTTTTCATTTGCCTTTTCATCCGACTGTTCAGAGTTGACCACTTGTCACATCCTCTTCCTCTACTCATTTAATTAAGCTCTTCATTTCCCTGAGCACTCGCTGTGACAGCGAGTTCACCAGGCCAATCTCCCAGGATCACCTCATTAACCTTTGACATGAACTCCGTTCAGCTGAGGAGCAGAGCTGCTTTTATTCATGCTGTCC